GGTTATTATTTATATATACTCTTCTTAGACCTCTAGCTATAACTATAGTTAGAGGCTAGTTGTTTTTTATACTACTATAGTTAGAAGCACTTATAGACAAGAAAATTAATTTAGTAGGCGTGCTTATAGTACTAGAGAACAAGCTAGTAAGAGTTAAAGAGATCTTACCTTTAATATAGCTCCCGCTCTTATTACTTATAGAATAGTTAAAGAATAGGTTAGTATTCTAGCCTTAGCCGCGGCTATCTTAGCTATTATAGCTACTCTAGCTAGACCTAGTATTATATCTACTATAAGAGTATCTATAGTTATTAAATAGTTATAGATTCTATAGCTGTTATATATATAATTAAGAGAATAACTAGAGCTAGCTACCTTACTTTATATTATTCTTACGCTTTTTCTTATAATTAGTCTTGTTGTGTTCTAGTTTTCTATAATAGAAATAGAGGCCTTTCTACGTATATTCTTCTTATAATAGGCGTATAGCGTCTAACTATATAGTATCTAGGTCTAAGATAGGCTAAGCCTATATAGTTACTAGAAGTAGCGTGCTTGCGTTTATATACGTCTACTTTAAGCGTCTTTTATAGATGCTGCTAATATACTTCTCTTCTTTAAGACGTTTCTATATAGTGTTTAGTAACTTAACCTATTTGTTAAAGTTAGCAGGTCTAGAGAGCTTAATCTAGTTAGTAACTATACTACTAAGCTTTATAGATACTTTATAGTAAAGAGTAGTAACCTTCTCTATAGCTATCTTTTTAGTATAGGTAGACTATTTCTTAAAGTTAGATAAGAAGTTAGAAAAGAGGCGTATACCTATAACTAGGTTGTTAAATTTAGTGTTAGCCTCTAGCGTCTTATTAGTACTAATATAGACTTAGTCTATATTTATAAATAGGTCTAAGACTATAGTATAGAGCTATACGTTCTAGTTATTTAGGTTGTCTAGAATTATATTAAGGTTATAGTAGTAGCGTTTTATAGTATTACTAGTAAGAAGGTTTATAACGTATAGAAGACAAAATAGGTTTATATTAAAGAAGGCGCTGTCTATAGCTAAGGCTAAATAGACTTCTATCTTCTAATTCTTATATTTCTATTGCCTAGTACTTAGGTTACCCTTGCTATTAAATTTTAGCGAGTTATTATAGTTCTATTAGCGGGAGTTGCAAGAATTAGTAGGTAGAGAGGCTTAAAGAGTAGCGGCTATAGCTTCTATAACATGCGTACGCTACTCTACTACGCGCAGCTATACTTAGAGAGTAGAATATTTAGTAGTAACAGTATTGTAGTTAGCTTAAAGAGTCTAGAACTAGTAGTTAAAGCTGTTCTTAAAGTTTCTAAAGATATTATTAAGAGTATTCTTTATTACTAAGGCTTTCTAGTTAGTGTTAGCTTTGCTAATCGTAACTAGCAGCTGCGTAGGGTCTTGCTACAGGCCTCTAGTTCGCGTAAGTGTCTAGAGTGTTAGAAAGTTAGAGAGGTTTGCGGCTAGAGTTTCTACCTAGTTCTTCTTCTAGGTGTTACTTATAGTACCTTAGTTTCTAGAATTATAGAGCGGGTTTCTTTTAGTTATAATTTAGCTAGGCTACGTAGTACGTAGTAGAGCTAATAGTAGAATTATACAAACTATTACGACGTAGATAAGAAACAAGAATTTAAGGTATATAATAAGTTATACGATATTAAGCTATAAAGGCGCAGAGGCGTAGAGAAGATATCTACTACGCCAAGACGCTAAGATAGCCGAGGTTACGTAGCTGCGCAGACAGGTTAGTGCCGTAATAATAAGATATAAAGATAATATAGTATATATATTAGTAATATCTATTTATTTCTAGAAGAAATCTCTAGACTTCTTATTAGAGACTCTTTAAGCTAATATCTCTAGTATTACTAAGCTAAATACTACTAAACTTTATAGAAGGCTTTATACTATAGTATATAATATATCTTTAAAGTTTTATATATTATTATAAAGGTCTACTAGTACTTATAAGGTTTAAACTCTAAGAATAGCTACTTTTAGAAAAAGGCTTATCTTAAGCTTACGTAATAGAAAATATATAGTGTAAATTTAATAGAAGGTGTATATAGTATAGCTCTATATATATTTAAATTTTTATAGAAAACTATTAAGGTTTCGCTTAGTTATTTAAGAAAAACTCGTTAATTCTTATGCTTAGCATTTTTGGGGGGTTCGTTTGTCTAGGGGGTTCGTTTATCAAGTACGTTAAAGAGTTAGGTAACTTAGAGAAAAGAAGAGAAATCTGTCTGCTTAGCCGATAGATTGTTAAGGGGTCCAACGAGGCACGTGCGTGTCTTAGCGTTTTGATAAGCGCCCTAGGAACCAAGAATTAGTACGCGCCCCGCTTCCAAGCTTCAAACGACGAGTTATACTGTAGCTATTTATTACGAGTCCCAACCTTGCTGCGCCGCTCATCCCACTCCTTCGCTCTTCGCCGGTTCCTGCGACTTCCACCGACCGGTTCTTGTCACGGAACGACACTTAATGGCACACCGCTATGGCATCGTTCCATCGTACGCGCGGCGAAGGCCATTCTCGTCATCGCGGACCCACTTTAAGCCGCACACTTTGTGGACGTGCAGCCTTCCCGGAACCAACCTTACACACGGACGACAAGCCGGCCTAGGCCATCTCCGACTATTAAACGAGGCAGACGAGAAGAACCCCTCCATGCGTGGGTCGGAGAATGCATATGTGCCCAATAGTTGCCTGTGCCTATCATGTGCGTACACATAGTTTACAGCTATAACCTTGTCCCGCAGGCTGTGCCCCATTCACAGGCGATGCCCCGGCATTTGGGCGCATCAGCCCCCGGAAAGTCCAGTCGCTGGGGGATTTGCATGATAGGCTTAAGCCATGCATCCCTGCTCAGCCGTGTCGGGAAGACGTGTTGGTTCGAGAAGCATAAATATGGACAGACCGTCTTCGTCTTCGGTCGATTCCCTCTCTCCAGGCTCTCCAGCACTCTCGGACAAGCAAGCAGTCGAGACTAGCTCCTTCTCCTCCAAGAACTTTTAAAGAACAACCGCACTCGCCACTTTGACAGCCCAACGGCGCCATGTCCGACCCCCGTATCCCCAACGACGTGAGGAAGCAGGTCAACGACAGGATCACTGATCAGAGTTCGGGCACCATCGCCCAAGTGGTTGAGGCGGGCAAGAGCTCCCAGAAGAGACGCGAGGACGCCAAGAAGAAGAAGGAGGAGGAAGCCAAGGCCAAGGTAAGAATCTCAGACGTGTTCTTGATTGCGAGAAAGATGCTTACTTCGAGGACAGAGCGGCGGCGGCGGCGGCGGCGGCGGCAGCAGCAGCACATAGGCAGTGCAGGCAACCTTTCGGCAACCGAGCAACTTGCTCGACCACCACCGGCCCAGCCACCCGACCGAAAGCAGCCACGCGCTTGGCAAACCCGCAGGTGTGCAACCTTCCCTTCAGCCCCGACAGCAACCCTGGGGCGGCGACCAACTCTGATCTGTTTTGTTTCCTATATCCGTCTCCCGAGTGGGCGGGTCTCCTGCCACAAGGACGTATGCGCCTCAGCTTGTCTTCCATCTATCCTCAGTCTGTCTTCCGTCTGTCTTTAGTAAACCAGTAGCTAGTTATAACCCCCGGGGCGACGTGTCATCCCACTAGAATAAGAAGGCCGGCTCTCTTTATGCCTCATATGCGCGCCACTAGCTGCACGCTGGCAAGGCATCTCTGCTCTCGTGATCGTGATCCCGACCCCAAAGTTTTGGTGATACGCCCGCTGCGCCCCGCACCGTGAGGTTTAGTCAGCCCGCATCCCCCCACTGTCTCGTCGCGTCGTCCTTCGCCCAAGTCTCATCGTTCCCCCTTCCCCTTGCTGGCGGCCGTCGCACCTACACACTTGCACACCTCTCGCCACCTGCCCCCAGTCGATCGCTATGACCATCGACGAAAACCTATCCGTGGTTGCGGAGCTTCGTGCCCTCCTGCATCATGTGCTTCTCGACTTCCGGAAAGCAGAGATGCCAGCATGGGTGACGGAATTCCACCCCGAGAAACTGGCCTGTGAGATCGAAGAGCCTTGGATTCGTGGCTCGTACAATCTCTGCATACCCGTTGTCTTTTCCAGCGGTGAGAAGTGGATCGTTCGCTTTCCCCGTGACGGCAAGACCCTCGCAAAACACATTGACGAGAAGGTCGCCAGCGAGGTCGCGGCCCTGGAGCTTCTCCGCGAGAGGACCGACATTCCTGTCCCCGAAGTCAAGGCCTGGGGCTTTGCCCGCGACAACAGACTCGCAACGGGAGCTTTCATCATGGAAGGATTCATCCCCGGCGAGAGCCTTTCGAAAATTCTGAGCGATCCCGAGGATGATTCGGTCCCTATGCGGGACAATCTGGGCGACGTGATCGACACCATATACCGGCAGCTTGCACGATTTATGTTTCAGATCTTCGAGCTAGATTTCAGCCACATCGGCAGTCTATGCAAGCAAACGCCATGCACCCAGCCGCCACTTACAATGACTGCGAACGAGATAACTTGTCTCTCCGGGGCGGACGTCCTCGGTACTGTTCTGCCCTTTCTATTCTTTGGCTCATCCCGCTAATAACCATTGAGGCCCAAAAAGTAAGGCATTTTCTACCACCACCGAGTATTTCCATCATGTCGTCGAGCAGCACTGGCAACAGTTCGCCAAACAGCGGAACTCGGTGGAGAACAGCGAGGAAGGCAGGGCGAATTATGTCTTTCATAAAGTCCTGAAGTCTTTGACCGGCCATCAGGTCTGGCCGGAATATGACACTGGACCGTTCAAGCTTATTTGCGACGATTTCGGCCCAGCGAACATGCTTGTCAACAACAGCCAGGAACTGAAGATCGTCGGAGTCGTCGACCTTGAGTGGTCCTATGCAGGCCCAGCTCAGCTGCTTGCGACAGCTCCTTGGTGGCTCCTTCAGGAAAGACCCAGTGTTTGGATCCACACCATTGAGAGGCGAGAAATGTTTCTCCGGCACTGGACCAAATTCAAGCACATCCTGGAGGAAGAGGAGGCGCGGATGCGGCCAGATGGCCGGCTGTCGGCGTTGGTCAAGCGATCTGAAGAGAACGGGACCATGTGGTACCATATGGTCCTTCGAGGCTTTTTCATTGCCTACGACGACTTCCCCTCGGTGGAGCTGAGAGACAGCATACCAGATTGGGAGGAGCGGGCGGCAGAGGTTCCCGGGGAGGATATTCAATCTTTCCTCGACGGAAAGAAGAAAGAACTTGAGGCGTACGAGGCTAACAAGAAGACGATTGAGCCTCTCTTTACCGAGGTACAGGAGAGAAGGATGATGACCGACGATTTCGTTGCGTTTATCGAAGGTCTGTATGGAAGAGGCGATGGACAGGCGGGCTAAGGCCAGTCGACCAGCCCCCATCGAATTGCGCGCTGCCAACATCGTTTATGAGCCCTGGCGGCCAGGCGTTCGCGAAGACCAACGAGGACGTGGCAAGGGTCTGATAGATCCGATTGACCTGACGGGGGAGCGATCCAATCCCGCCAGGGGCTGTTGGAGAGTCTGGGTCGGAAGAAGGCTGCAACGTATGGGGAGATTGGGGGAAGCGGCGATACCTCGAGCCAAGCCGAACTCGGATGCCGTTGCTCCTCTGCTAGGTAGTCGAGCTAGCGCAGTGACTTTGGCCTACTGTACCACTTCGAAGATCCGAATGTAACTAGATAGTACAGTACGCTCCAGTGGCTTTTGTGTCGTAAACCGTGTCGAGCGTTACTTCGTCCAGATCCGGGTTCAGGAATGCCGACTCGTATTCATCGTCCGTCGGACGCCCAAGGAAAGGCTCTGCCGACCAAGAGCGGGCCTCGAATAAGACCCAAAAGCAGGAGGAATGGCCCAAAAGAGGGACCGCGGAGTGGGGCGGAAAGCGGATGGCCAATAGTTCTGGTCAAGCCGAAGCCTCAAGCCGAGGTTGAGCCGAGAGGATAATTCACCCCGCGGTCCCTCTTTTGGGCCATAGTCATATTCCTCTGGGACTTATTCGAGCCTCTCGTTCGGAGGCCTCAGCAGAGTCGAAGCACCGAGTCAAAGGATGTTCATTTCCCCCCACTTTTCCCTCATTATTGTTGGAGGGACTTGGGGTCTCCATGATGCCGGCAGACCCGGAGCGCGGGTGCTGAAACAAGTGCTGCTGTGGAGCAGAGGCTGTCGCTGCTCAGATACGAGTGGGGCCGCCAAGCCGCACCCCGGCGACTGCTCACTCCGCGCCGTCGGAATGCGACAGCGTCGCCAGCCCCGTGGAGTCACCAGACGACCCCGCCGCCCGCCATCCCGCGGAAGGGCGATGGTAATACCGATGGGACGTCAAGTCGGGGCTGCTGCCATTTGTGCTGGTTTCCCAGGCTCCGAATGTTCGGTAGGGCGGTCGCTCTGCCGATTTAGCATGGGTGGAGATGTAAGTGTTGGCGTATAGGCGTGTAAGAGGCCAAGTGCATGCTCACAGGCGAATAGAAAACACTGGTATAGCCTATGACAATGCTATCTATCCGCCATCCGCCACCACGTTTGGGTCCTTCCGGGCTTCGCGAAGGATCTCCTTCATCAAGGAATAAAGCTCCGGCTCCGGTCTCTTCCACCTCTCACCGTTTGGAAATACCTTCCTCCGCAGTATATTGACCGGCGGGATCAATGGCTGGTAGTACGATGTGAAGTTCTCTTCCGCAATCTTAAGAAAGATACTCTCATCGGAGTCTCATCGCCTATCGTACCAACTTTTGATCGAACCAGCTTGCTGTCACTCTCGTAATTCTAGCTGTCAAACTCAGTTAGCCCGATATCTTTGCCTTGCGCGTCGTAGTGGATGCACATCCAGAAGAACACCTAGAAGAATAACTCGAGGTCGTGCATGAAAGAATGTTGCTCGCCCAGAAGCGCCCTAATTGCCATGAATACCCTCGTGCCAGTCTTGCCCTTTGCTCTAGATGCGCCCTCTCGTTGCTCTCTAACGGCGAGATCTAGGTTAACGTACTTTACAAACAAGCTGTCCACACAAACGAGATGTCTACTTTTGCCAAGCCCTCTACTAGAACTTATCTTAACTACTATAAGTTTAGCTATCTACGTAGAATTATTCTCTTATAAAGCTAGAATATAGCTTACACTTTACGCTCTCTAGACTAGCTAAATTAAAAGTAAATAACGCGCTATAGCTATATATAGAGTCTACTAATTAATACTATAAAACTAATAACGTATTCTACTAGCAAACCGCCTACACTACCGAACCGCCCACGATTTCTTAGCAAGGAAAATTAACGAAAATTAACCTGTATTTCTTAAATAACTAAGCTAAAACGTAATACTTTTCTATAAAAATTTATATATATATAGAACTATACTATATATACCTAGTATTAAATTTATACTAAGATATATTACGTAATTAAAAAGCTATACGTATTTAACTAACTTTTAAGAAAAAACCTAGTTTTCTTCTAGTAAGTACTATTATATCTCTATAATAATCTATAAAACTTATAGTATATAATATCTATAACTATGTAAAAATTTCTAAAAAACTTTTATAGAGCTAGCTCTTCTAGATATAGCGTAATAAGAGATAGAAATTTAATAATATCTTTTTAGAGTTTTCTTCTCTAACTATATATATATAAATAATCTAGCTATATAAAGTTATATATTATAAGCTTATATATATTATAAGTCTTCTATATATTTAGAAGTAATAATTCTAAAATAGTTTTAGTATATTTCTATCTTTTTATACTATACTACTAAAAAGACTTTACTTTTAAATAACTACTTAAAGCTAGTATATTATTAGCTAATAAGCTCTATATAGTTAAAGCCTACTATAATTTATAAAATAATAAGTTTATATAGCTAGATTAACTATATATATATATAGTTAGAAGAAAAAATTCTAAAGAAGATATATATTATAATATAGTTCTAAATAGAATAAACTAGACTAATCTAAACGTCTATATAATAGTATATTATAGTATAGTTCTAGATAATACTAACTAGACTAGTCTAGACGCGTATATAATAACTATAAATAGTATAGAGAAGAATAAAGTAGTATTATATATATAGTCTCTTCTATTAATATACTTTATTACTAAAAGCTCTATATTACTAAAAGCCTTACGATTTCTTGGCAAGAAAAATCAACGAACATTAACGAGCTTTTCTTAAATAACTAAGCGAAACCTTATTATTTTTCTATAAAAATTTATATATATATTCTCTAGAGTATATTACACCTTATAATAAAGTTGTACTAAGATATATTACGTAATTAAAAAGCTATACGTATTTAACTAAATATTAAGAAAAATCTAGTTTACTTCTAGTTAGTAGTATTATATCTCTCTAATAATCTATAAAACTTATAGTATATAGTATTTATAACGTAATAAAGGTTTCTAGAAAACTTCTATAGCGCTAACTTGTCTAGGTATAGTATAATAAGAGATAGAAGTTTATAAAAAATCTTTCTAGAGTTTTCTTCTCTAACTATAGATATATATTAATAATCTAGCTATATAAAGTTATATATTATAAGATTATATATACTATAAGCCTGCTATATATTTAGAAGTTGTAATAGTCTAGTTTAGAATTTACCTTAGGTTATATAACCTTAGGTTACGTAATTTTATTACATAACCTAGCCTAGCGTCTTAGCGCTTAACACCTCTATATATAGAGTCTCTTAGAGCCTTTCTTCTACTTCTTACCTTTAGATAGCTAAATTTAACCTAACCTACTCTACTAGCACCTCTTATTCTTACAGCTCGTAGAGATAGTGCTGCCTGCAGCTAACTTACCTAGCTAGGTGTTCTAGAGGCGCTTATAGTAGTAGAGACTACAAATCTAGCTCTTATATTATCTAAAGATTAATACTCTTTTAGCTAAAGACGGTAGTATAATATCTAGCTAAACTAAGTAGCCTTATTAAGAAGCGTTTACTAATAGCTATACTAAGAATTAGAGCTATAAGAGCCTAGTTACTTACTCTAAGAATCTATTAATATTACTAATTAATTACTTACCTCTTAGCGCTATATAAGACCTACTAGCGAATCTAGTTAGTAGTAGAAAGATACTAGCACTAAGCTAAAGAGAGCTATTAAGAGCTCTATGTATAGAAGAACTTCTATAGAACTTCTACGTACGAAAACTCCCCCTCTCTCTTTACAAAATTACGAAAAATTAACAATTCTCTACTCTGCTAGTAGAACTAACAACCCGCTGCTCTGCTAGCAGCTAAATACCTCCTCCCTTCGCTTCTTTCTTAATTAAAAAGCCGAATAAATCTAAATACTATAGGAGAACTCTTGCAAAGCTAATCTAGAGGTAGAACCTTAGCTCTATAATACCTCTTTACTCTAATAGTTCTTAAATCTAGAGCAGCGAACCTGCTAGTAGAATATACTAATTAATATTTCTATTATAAAAACTCTATTTAGTAATACAACGCGATAACTAATAAGAATTAGAATAACAACTTTAACTAGAAGCTTGCAAGGCTCTACTAGAGCTTAGTAATACTAGAGCTATTATTAGTCTTAAGTTTGTTTACACTCTCTACCTCTACTAAAGAGCTTTAAGAGCTCTTTCTAGAAACGCTAGCTAAAATTATTAATAAAATAGTTAGCTAATTATATATATAATAGGTATATAAATAATAAATCTATATATATTACTAGATTGCTACTAATACTCTTGCTAAGAAAGATAACGTATACGCAAAAAATCTAATATAGGCTACTATTCTAGCTAAAAAAGATACTAAAATCTAGTAACTACAAGCGTAATTAACTTGCTCTAGAGACTAGATACTACCTACTACGCTAGTCTAACGCGTAACGCATTTCTCTACAATACTAATTATACGTAATTTAAGCGCGTTGCTACTAGAGAATTTAATCTTAAGTTCTTACTCTTTTATATACTAGCTAGCTACACCTCTAGCGTTATAAGCGTTGGAGAGCTAATTATTGCGTTCTACTAAGTTTCTAGATTTACTCTTATTATTAGATAGTAAGAGTATTACCTTTAAGTAGTAGAGAGATAGCTTATATAATAAACTTTAAGTAAACTAGAATTAGTATACTAGAGATATACTAGAGAATACTAAGAAAACTATTATTACCTATATCTATACGTAAACTAAAGAAGACGCGTACTAGACTCTATTAGTAATACTATATATTATTAAGAATAGTAGTGTAGTAGTTTTCTATAATTATATTCTTAATTAGCTAGAGAGAAGCTATAGAGACCTATATAAAAGGCTAAACGCTTACTATAATTTCTAAAAGCTTTATTACTAAAGCGCTACTAACTTCGCCTACTTTTAGAATAATTTCTTCCGCCTTATATAGAAGCGCTAGCTTCTAGTAGACTAATAGGTAGAGAAATTTTATAAAAAGCTACTAGAGACTATATATACGTAGTTAGGTATATACTAACGTTAATACGTTAATAACTATAACTACTATATAGACCTTGCTTAAGACCTTGCTTAAGAGCTTACTTTTAGAGAAGTACGCGTTACTACTAGAAAGGCTAAAAAGTATAACGCGATTATGTTAATACTATAACGCGCACCTCTAGCTCTTCTAGGTTTTTTAGCACCTAATAAAGCTCTAGTAATCTAAAAGCTAGTTACCTATTTTTAATACTACTAACCTAGCTACCTAAGTTATAATTACTCTAGAGCTTCTGCCGCGTAGAAAGCTATTAAGAACGTTAATCTAGAGAAGAAGCCTATAGAGCCTATAGAGCTATAAGTACCTAAGAATAACACGTTAGAATATAAATCTAACAATTTAGAAAAAGTCTAGCTCTAGAAGAAGTCTTCTCTCTAGAGCTATCTACTAGAGTAATAAACCTGCGTAAAAAGCTATTTAGTAGTTCTACGTTTACTTTACTTTACTAAATATCTATAAATAGTCTTATAATTAAGCTTAGAGGTTTAATTAATATAAGAGTAGGTAGCTACGTCTTAGTACACCTAAAGTACCTTTAAACTCTTAGAAAAAACCTCTATATTAAGCTATTACGTATAAAACTAATCTCTCTTACTAGGTATAATAGGCAACCTAATAGCTAAGTAGATAAGTATTTTAAAGCTAATCTAGTACTAGAAAGCTACTAAATTTATACTTACTTTGTATATTATAATACTAGCTACTATAACGTAATAATTAGTTATAAGTTACTTAAAGAAGTTAACGTTTAGGTTAACTATAAGTAGCGCGTACTAATATAGCTAGATACTAATTAATTAATTAATTATAAACGCGACGCGTTTATTTCTACCTAATCCTCTTAATCTACCGCCGAAGCTTAAGCAGCTTACTAAGCTAATGCTAATTACTATAATGCTCTAATATTAGTAGTAGAAAAGCTAAGAGTTATATAATAAGAAAAGAGAGAATTGTAACGCTAGAAGCTTTAAGAAAACCTACGTAAGATAGATAGGCAGCTTAAGAATCTTAACCTACCTACTAGGTTACCTTATAAGCTAAAAAAGCTACCTGTTTTGTAGAAAATATACTTAAAGGCTAGGCTTAACGTTAATACGATTAGCGTAGCTACCTTTATAATTAACGCGCGTTAAAAAGATACTATAATTAGGCACCTTAGTGTCTATAAGGTTAATTAGCTTATTACTAATAGGAGGGAAACCTCTACTACTAATCTAGAGAA